AATATAGCAAGCCAGCTCCTCTCTTCTGACCAAGTTGCACTCTAAGTTATTCTTGCTCTGGGTTGGCAGAGAAGGATGACTCTAAGCTATCTTCCCATTCTCTTAAGACTTGTTCTTCAGTGAAGGCCCAAGGCTTCTGTTACTTAATCCAGGAGTAACAATCTATGAGAGCCTATTTGGCAAGCAAGGGATTTCAAAAAGGTGAGGAGCTCCAGCTACTCTATCTGATCTTAGCACAGGTTTGGGCTGAGAGCATGTTGTGTGTATACATTGCTGCACGGATTAGAATCTGGCATAATTTTCTACCAGGTATGTTCTCATGTGACTGTTCTCTTTGCACTTCCAGCTACCACTGCAAAACATGCAAAGAGTAATGAAAGCATTACCACTGCTGGGTCGGCTTTAGCTCTAAACATGGCAGAAGCTAATTCAACAAAGATCCCAGAGAAGTCGCTCTCAACTCCAGCAGGAACTAATGGCACAAATAACGCTCTTGTGTCACCTCCAGTTCCAGCAAGAACTAATGGCACAAATGCCACTCCTGTGTCACCTCCAGCCCCAGCAGGAACTAATGACACAAATGACACTCCTGTGTCACCTCCAGCCCCAGCAGGAACTAATGGCATGAATGACACTCTTGTGTCACCTCCAATTCTACCAGGAACTAATGGCACACATGACACTCTTGTGTCACCTCCATCTCCAGCAGGAGCCAGTGGCACAAATGACACTCTTGTGTCACCTCCAGCACCAGTCGAAGACAATACAAGAGCCAGCTCCCCTAGGTTGTCTGCATCACCAGTGGGAGCTAATACAGCAGACAACACACCTGGGTCAACTACAATTCCAGAAAGAACAGGACCGAATGCTACTAATGGAACCACACGTAAGTGATGGAGACAATTTCATAGCCAAAGGGGTAAAAAGATATGAATAACTGAATCTTTGCATCATCTGTCACATATTGTCCTGAAACAAGAGTTCTTTCTCTGAGCTGTCCATGTTCAGCGTGAAATGTCAGTGTTATTTAGCTTTTGTGTTGTGATTAGTGATGGCTGTACTTCACAAGATTCAGAGTTTGGATATTCTAATTAAAGGGACAATACATTTTTATATAATAAAGGGCTTAGTCTGTCTGACTGTCTGTAATGCTCTTGAAGCCCTCTGATTGGTTAGTGAAACTAACCTCCCCCCTCCCCCACCCCAGCCCTGATCCTTGGAGGAGGTGGAGCACTGCCATAAGGATGGGATGAAGGGGACCGAGTAGGGGGCAAGGCCAGTGGTTCTGGCTTCACCCCACCCCCTGCCACTCCATCCCTGCCATCATGGCAGCACTCCACCACCTCTGAGGAGCAGGGATGGGGGTGAGATGAGTCCAGCAGCTGAGGCAGGGGGCGGGGCGGGTGGGGATGGAGCACTGCCACCCACCACCCTGCACTACCACCACCTCCCAGGAGCAGGGAGGGAGGGAAGCTTGCCCCGCTGTCCCCTCTGCCCCCCTTCACTAGCACCCCATGCTGCTGCCACCTCCGCGGCATAGGGTGGTGAATGGTGGCACTCCATCCCCCCTCTCCTCCCCCATCATTCTTCACGGGCAATTTGCTAGCTATTAGATAAAATAGAAAGACTTACTACTGGGGTGGCACCAGCCTCTTCCGAGTGGAGGGGGGCTGAAGTGGACTAGACAGAATACTGGGGGGAGGGGCTGCGTCAAACGTACTTACTCATCTGGCCAAATGTACTTATTCATTTTTTTAACAATACTCACTTAAGGCACCACACCTCTATGGGCAAAAGCAGGGCAGGCTCGGCTATGTGGGGTGAGCCACAGTGGCCTGAGGATAGTGGAGGCCTTGGATGGGGTGGTGCTGGTAAGGGTTGGCTATGGGGGGGTTAATGCAAATTATGGGGTGGCTATAGCCCCCTAGTGCTGCCCCTGCTTATTACTGCCGCATATAATCACTCTTGTGGCAGTTGTAAATTTTAGGATCATTAACAATTCAGAAAACCAAACTAATTCTGTAAGAATAATCAAATAATATTGTTCACTGCAGTCCACAAGGCATTAAGTTGCAGCCCCCAGGCTCGCACCCAGCCACTGGTCCCCTGCATCACTGGCTGCAGCAGCAACTGGGATCCCTCTAGGCTCCCCTCTCCTACCATCTGGCTTCCCTTTCTTGCCCCTTCCCCAGGGGTAGGGCAGCGCAGTATATGCTTCAGCCCACAGGGCTGGAGGAGCCCGAGGTGTGATGCCTGAGCCTCAGCAGTGTAGTCCAGTGCCTGAGCAGTGTGGTACAGTGGGGTGAGCTTGCAGTCTGGAAGGTGAGGGTGAGGCAGGGTACATGGTGCAGTGTTGTGGTCTGTACAGTGCAGCAGGGGCCATGCAGTACAGAAGGGGGGGATGTAGGCAAAGGGTAGCACCAGGGGGGCTGGTACATGCTGCAGTGGGGGGAGGGAGGGGCATGCAGCCCCAGGGGCTCTCAGTCCCTGCTAGTATGACCCGTGTGTTGTGCAGTTCCTGTCCACGTAGAAATTGGACAGCTTGAATTAGGGCATAAAATGACTATCAGGTTAGAAGCCATTAATCTTACATAATATCCACATGGGATAATAAATACACTGGGTGTAATTTAGAGTGGCGTTTTGGATGTTTAAACATTAGGAAGTAAACATAGCTGAAAGCTGATACCAAGATAAAAATATAACAAATTGCTTTGATCGACCTGGTTTACCTCTTTTGTCTATGGAAGACTGACAGATCACCTGTTTGGATTTCTTAATGCATATTGGACTAAATTGTGCCATCAAAATGCAATCTCCTTAAAGGCAATGGTTTCATTTAGACTATTATTTTTCTTAACAACAAACATTCATGAAGGAATAAGTGGAATTGTAAAACAGTTCGTGATCAATCCAGACTGCTGTCTGTGGCAGCTGTCAACATGGTTCAAGATCAGCTCAAGAAAAACAGATGCTACTACCTAGGGGCACGTGCTTCCAGTGAAAGATGGTTCTAAGTTAATCTAGAGTATCCAAGACCAGAGTAAGAAAGAACTTCAGACCTATTGGCTGACAAAAATGTAACAGCTAACATGGATTTCAGCTTCCTATACGTGCATAAGTTTCAGATCTCAGTGATCTTGAATGATCACATCCATGAATTCTGTAAACGTATCTGGGGAAGTGTACAAGTGCTCATTCAAACATGTGAACCCCAATTCATTTAGACTTCAACATAGTCCAATGTGGGGAAGATTTCCACTGCATTGGCCATTTTTAACCATTTAAAGCCCTATGAACACTTGCCTCTAGGGCATTTAGACTAGTGGAACTGCAGGGGGGCAGCAAGGGGCATGCAGTGCAGCTGGGGAGGATGCAGGTATAGGGTATATTGGGGGCTGGCATCAGGGAACATGCTACAGTGAGAATGAGTGTGGCCTGCAGCCGCAGGGGCTCTCAGTTCCTTTTTAGCAAGACCCTTGTGTTGTGTGGTCCCTGTCCACATAGAAATTGGACAGCTTGAGTTGTACATACCCTTATAAATACTCTAAGTTGCTTAACTATGATTTTGAGAATCACTTCTACTCTTTTCCATAGAATCAACGGTAGTGTAAATACTTGGAGACGAAAAATGTTCTACCCTTTGAGTTTCTGATAAAACATTAAAAAAAATATATGGTAAACTGGTAATGAAAAAGTGGAAACAACTTGTGAATTAAATACTGAACAGGTCACTTTGGTTAGGTTGGAAAAATGGCATTATTTGCCATGAGACATAGCAACAGTTAGTAGCACCTCTCAGGTCTCCTGTCAGTGCCTTCTTCTTTGGTTGGAGTCCTGTAAAAATGCATTGATTAAGAGAGATTCATCAGCTGGATATTATCAGTCCTTCACAGCTCTTCACTGTGATTAGGTTAAATATGTGAATTATAGCTTTTATCATTACATTATTTCTCTTTACTCCAATGTGTCTTTACTATTGTCACTGGGTTACAAACATAAAAAAACTGGAGTAACACAGTGCATAATTGTTCCCAGTGGATGTTTTATAATGAAATATGTATTAAGTTACAAAAAGAAAATCTGAAATAATCAACCTCAGAGCAAGTGTGCCTTTTCACTTTTAAAGGGCCCAGTCCAAGTTCCATTATAGTCTTTCTGTTGGAACAACCTACCATAAAGCAATATATTGATTTTGATTTTCCAAACAGAAAGTAGAAATTCTATTTCTGAAAAAAAAAAAACCCTTTGAAAAGACATTTTAATGGAAAAATTTAACCTGCTCTTTCAGCTGGGATGTGAGAAAGGCATCAGAGAGAGTTGAAGAGCAACAGAAGAGAGTGGCAGATCATAGCCTGTGAAGAAATTGGATCTGGCCAACAGTTCTGAAGATCAGTGGCATGTGATAGCAGGAGCCCCTTCTCCACCCTGAGCCATACATTTCTCTGCCATGTGCTGCCAGTCTTGTCTGCAGCATCCAGTGTTCCTGCTCTACCCCAAGGGGTTCCCCATCCCCCACTGCTGCCTCATGCCATTAAATCTGTGGCTGAGTATTCCCTTGGCAATGGAGTTTAGCAGCAGTCAGTGGAAGGGGTTGGAGTGGGGAGAGTTGTGAAGGGGGGTGCTGCAGAGGGAAGTGAAAACCTGTGGTGACTGCTCCAGTGCAAGACGTGGCCCCCCATTCTTAAAGGTTGATGACATTGACCCCTCATGTAAGCAATAGCAGAAATTATTATGTTTTGTTATTACACTGCAAGAGGTGATTCATAAAGGACTCACCATGGACTTTGGATGTTAAGGCAGTAAGAATCTAAATCCACCAAATACAGTGTTACTATGAAGAGATTTCTTACTGAAGGCTGAATTAAGCTGTAGTCAACTGAATCAACTTCCTACTACAGCCATGGATATTTTCATTGCTCTGTCTGGACTGTTAAGTGCTTCTTACTTAACTCAGAGAAGTTCTCTCTCCAGAACTAACAGGACAACTAATATGAGTAAGACAAGGAAAGTTTGACCCTTTATGTACACCAATAATTATCCAGAAACTCAGATCAGCAGTCTTATCTCACAACTGCTTGGTGGTTACTGCTTCTGAGCAACAGGAGGCATGAAAAGATAGTTTGAAAGAATTAGAACATGATAAAACTGGCAAACTGTTGGCTCATGTAATTATAGGCCTAACCAAAAAGTACAGTCAGACCAATGAATAATGTTTAAGGCTCTTAATGTTACTCTGATTTAGATTACAGTATTCTGTCTGAGTTATTTATGCACTTGTTTTACTTGTAAAAACAGTTTCATGTGGCTGCCTTCCAAAAAGAAAAAAAGAAAAAAGGAAACTACAGGATATTGAGGCTACTTTAGTAGTGGGTTTTTGAGGATAAAATGGAACAAGATAGGTTATTGGTGTCTTTCACCATCTGCCAGTTTTCACCCCTGTTGGGGTTAGCTGGTGTGGTGGGGCTGCCTACAGAGGGGTAGTCCCCAGGAAATGCCACACCCATGCCTCCCTAGAGAAAGACAAGTATGGGGTGCTAGAAAGCCTCAGCCCCCGCTGCCTTGTGGGTAACCCATGAAGGGAAAAGGCCAGGGGAGCACACCCCAACAGAAAAACACAAGGCCCAGGTCCACTGAGTGGGGCCTGAGGCAGGGTCCAGGCACATCAACAGACACCTGAGGCCTGAGTGGGCCGTAGGCTGAGTTAGGGGTCCAGGCATGTTGACAGACACCTGAGGTTCAAGGGGCATCAGGCCCAGAAGCCCTAGTAAGGGGGTAGAGTGAGAGCCAGAAGTTGCATAGAGTAGGATTCGTGGGGGCCTGAAGGACTGTGAATAGGCTGGCTGGAGTTGAAACCCCAGAGAGGGGGTAGATAGTGCGGCCCAG